GATTGTAAAATTATCGGAGTAAGCGAAAATTATTAAGTATTGTCGTATCGTGAAATTTTTCTGAAAAGAATATGACGCATTTCTTTAACAGATTACAAGCAATTAACATATGTTATATGTTGTAGTTACATGTTGAGCATATATTTAGTTATAATCTGACAGTTTATATCGTTAACTTTGCAACGTTCACGATCAGGACAAAGTCGATATATAATCGAGGGAACGCGACGATTAGTTTAGATGGGAATGCCAGCTATCAGTCGCGGATTCACGTTGACGTAGTTGGGGAAACTAATCAGCCAACCAACGTGTATATGTACACTAGTCGACCTTAATCCGTCAGAATCGGTTCGCCAAGAAGGAGATGCTATCCGATAGCTACCGATATTGCTGCCACGTTGACGCATTTCCATTCGCTGGAAATTCTCATGGGTCGTGTAACGCAATCAGATGGTTAGCAGGTACTCCCACGTGGTCGCGACCTACTCATCCACCTGCACAACAGGTTGTCTATTTTCCTTCCTAGGCTCTACGTGTTTTTTTTTTTTTTAATTAATTTTTTTTAGATCTTTTTATCCCTTTTATTCTTACACGAATAGGAGTGAAGAATATTATTTTTGTAATTAGTTAATGAATTGTGAAAAAATATGAAAATATATTAACAAAAATTTAGAGAAAAATTTGTCTCAAAAGTTTCTATCAATTTTAATGAAATAAAGAATATATTATATATATAAATAAATTTCTTAATAGTATGAGATAGACAATTGACATTGGAAGATAACAAAATTTTCTTTTAGAAATTTTGTATGCAAGAAACATAATATCTCCCTTGACAGAGATGCCACAAGAATTAATAAATTTAACAAGAATCGTAAAAATATCATAATATCCTGTTCAATATATTACGTCTCTCGCATATAAAAGTTTTAAAACAAAAAAAATGTTTTGCTTCTCGATGTCGATTATTTTTCATGTTTAAGAAATTTATTAAAAATTTATTTTATCGAAGTACGAAATAAGAATTTTGACACATATCCCGTAGTAAATTTAATTATACATTTATAAAACCAATATATGATAAACTTCAAATCAAAGCATCTTCAAAATTTTAATCAACAATAAGATGATTATTAAAAATTATCATATATCGTTTATCATTCTAAGCTATGACTTGTCGTAAAGCTGCTAATATTGCAATATAAACTTTCATCATTTCCCTAATATTGGATCGAGAAATGTTTTCCTTAAATAGCTGAAATTTGCGCAGTAAGTGCAGTATAATAGAACATTTATCACAAAGCTCGCATAATCATAATTGACATTTGCTGACAGGTGCGGAGATCGGAAAGGATTGGTAGCTCGTAAAATGGAAGAGGGGTACGAAGGGGCGCGTCACTCGCGGATTAGTAAATAATTTATTTCAGGAAGTAATTTAACTTTTCTAATTGATCGTCTGCTCGGTCGAGAGTTTCGCGAAAAGGGCGAGGCGTGGCGTGCAGACAGAAGGGTGAATAGAAGAATGTAGCCAGTTTCAGGATGAAATACCTCAACGAAGCGCACTTTGCGCAGCGGACTAGCGAGATGAATTTCTCGGCGTGGCTGCCCCAGAGAGATTTCCAGTTTCCACGTAATTCGAGGGATTTCGAGATATAATGAGATCGATGATGATTACAAGCCCATGATCTATGAATGTGATGTTTTGTGTGTGTGTGTGTGTGTGTGTGTGTGTGTGTGTGTGTGTGTGTGTGTGTGTGTACATTTGTTTGTATGTATGTGCGCGTACTATTTTTGACAATCGATTCAATATCCACAACATGAATATTAACAAATAGCTTTGCTGTATTGATTATCCTGCGATTGAAATGTGAGATATTCATTTTGAAAAAATAATCAGAACGTTGCACATTGACTATACGATGTACAAAGAAATTGTTTAAATATTTATTCAGATATTATCGAAAATTTATATGACTAAAAATTAAACATCACTCAAATCTTTATGCAGAAGTATTACCGATATTATTCGCAATGTTGTTTACTATTAATTTATTTAACTGCTAGTTGGACAATCAATAATTTATATATATATATATATAATCATGCAAAAATGATATAAGTAACATTATTTTACGCATTATATTTTTGTAGCATTTAAATTTGGCAATTAACATGACAACATGCTATATTGATCAAAATAATCATGTTTTATGGCTTCGCAAAAATTCGTTTATTAAAGAAGGTTTTTTGAAAAACGTTTTCGACGCGTATCTTGTGAAGACTTCTTGAAAGTGAGAACGAAAAAGTCCTGGTCAATGAACAAGAGAAGTCGAAAAGTACTTTACCACGTTCTTGGGAATTGTTATACGGAAAAGATACTCGCTTCGGTAGAGAAGGACGTAAGAAACATTCGAAAAGAAAGGCCCTGAAGATATGGCAACCTAAAAGAAATCTCTCACTCGAGATCGATCCCTTCAATTCTTCAAGAGAAAAAATTTAGAAAGAGCGTCATGAAACATAAAAGAGTTTTATTACTACTATCATAGTTGCTGTCATAAATTTCTTTGCAATGATTTCTTTCAATCTTTGCTATTTTTATCACATTCTTTCTATGACTGATATTAATAATTACAAATATGTTTAAATTTAATTCTTAAGTATCTTTCGTAAAATATTCATTAAAATTTATTTACAATATTATTACAGAAGTAAATATGTTATTAATGATATGCAATCAAAATGATAATGATTCTACACGAAAAAATAGAAAATTCATAATAAATGATCAATCTGTACGTGATTACGTGATCCTTAATATAATAATTGCATATCTGCCTTTGCTGTGCTAATATTAAATGCTACTGTTCACTAAAACAACACAAGACGTTTTCTTGTTCTTGGATCAGATTTCTACGCAGAGAAAAATCATGCATAGAACCTGTTTTCTTCCTATTTTCTTCGTAGTAACGCGGGAAAAGTTTCCAGGTTTGAGATAACCGTCTCAAGTCTCGTGGCGAGTTACGGTTCACTCCCAAAGGTGAAATTGGAAAAAGTTTTTCCGTTTGTGTGGATGCCTCTGCGGGTGGTATCAATCTCGCGGACTTTCGGTATCTCAAGTGTGTTGAAATGTTCATGTCGCGAAAGACGTATATAGTGTTCGAAATGTACTTTAAAAGATTGTGTATTTTAATACGAGAGTCTTTCAGAAAAACTAAATAACTTATTTAATATTAAAGAATTTAATATTAAAGAATTATCTCTCTTGTTCGAAACGTGTTCAATCTATCATCATACATTTTTGCAAAAAGATCCTTTAAAAAAATATTCTGTTTGAAATTCTTTTATACGAGTAGAAAATTCGCATCCGCGTCTAGGGATTTCATACATATACTGAAAGCACCAAGTCTAATTGGAGTTTCATGAAGGCTAATTTCCCTAATGGAAAGCAAGATCGAAACCTCTGTTTCAATATTATTATTTATTCTTGTCGCTGTATTCCCTTGTTGAAATTACATATAGAATATGTGTTATTCTAGACTATTCACATTTCTTTCGAATTACTATAGAGACTATACTATAATTACTATACAAACAGAACATTCATATATTATAAAATGATAATTGTACGTTTTTCTACTGCATTTATGTTTTTTTACTGCCAAAGATATCGCAGAAGAAAATAGTCGACTTAAAAAGACGTCAATTCATCGCGTTTTATTTGGGTCACGCTTTGTATTTTAGAATAAACGTACTGTATTTTTAAATACACGAATTACGAGAATAAAAGAAGGTATTTAAAAAGCGACCCAAGAGCTGTGGCTATCTCATCGGACGTTGATTAACGAACGGACTGCTTTGTCTATTTCTCTATTTCGGTAGAAAAATATTTCTCGCCGTCCTTTGTTCCGTAGAATAGTCTGTACGAGTGGCCTAATTAGCGCACGACGTTTAAGTCAATGGAAAAAAAAGAAAAACCAGGGAAAAGTAGCCAGCCAATTTCTGTGACGATTCTTTTATATTGCGATTTTCTTGCAAACGATGCATCGAACAGACACCATTTAATTAACTCTTTACACATTAGAAATAATGTTCTATTTTTCAATTGTTATTATTTTAATTGTGAAAAAGGAAAACAATCGTTTTTCTTATTGCAATTCATTGCTGGTTTTTTAAAAACTTTTGATCATTTATTTTATATATATATATATATATATATATATATATATATATATATATTTAAAAGTCTAATCCTCTTTTCTAAATATAAATTTATTCTTATTTTTATATTTTATGTGTATAATTATTGTTATGTATATATAATTTTATATTGTAATTAAATTTAAAAAATACATGTTACATATATTTATAATTTATATTTATAATTTATATTTATATTTTGAAATCTAAATACAATATATCTTATTCATATGTAATTACAAAACAATTATTAACCAAATATTTAATTATTAAATGTAAAAAAACATTTTCTTACTAATACACATAAAATATAAATGATATTTTTCATATTTAGTATCTCTTTTATTTATTTTTCATTTTTTGTATGGAATTATATGCATTATTTTTTACTTTAAATATACATTTTCCTTAAATGCAAATAAAATGCAATTTATAATCTAGGTTTTACTGAGTGTTCCAATTTTAAACATTATATTATTTTGTAGATTTATCATTCGAATGATACAATAAATATAGGCAATATATATTTTCTAATTATTTATGAAATAAAGAAATCGTTCAAAATAAGAATTTGCTTTTCTGCTTGGAGTATCAGTTAAGAGTTTTGTCGGCATTCATCTTACATTAGTATATTGAAGAAGGAGAGGGGAGAGAAGAGTATCGATTTGTGTGTACCCTTCGAAGACTCGAAACGACTGTTAGTTTTGAATACGATCGGTAGATGTCCAATCTAGTCACAACTTTCTTGTAAGTGAAATTCAGTATTCTTGTATATATAAGGGACACGTCGTGGATTGTGTTCATCACTCGTGTTTGCGTCTGATGCCCGAATAAATCTTTCGCCTTTTACTAAAGATTTCCGTGGAGGCGAACAACTCAACGAGTCTTTAAGAATTTTTGACGTACCTGGCGAAAGCTGGGTCATAAATCGATTCAAAGTTAATATATCTAGGAAAATATTACATAATATCTGAGATGTATGTAAAATATCTTCATAAAAAGTGCCTTAGGGACAATTTGGAGATTTTCAAAAAGTATCTTTGCATATCGGAATGATCGATATGGTTTGAAGATACGCGCGATCTCATCCTCGCAGTTGCTTATACTGAATCTTTATTGGAGCTGAGAAGATAGAGAAGAAGTATGAGCTCTACAACGAGAGGATCCATTCCGTCTGATGCTGATTCATAGCGGTTAGACGTGCTCTGCATTATTCAGAGAGCGCACCTGACCGTATAACGTCATGCGACTTTAAATATGGTTGCATCACTTTTGACTATCAAAGCAGATAATACGGCATGTCATACACTTTTCTCTCAGTTGCATCGATGGCTAGCAAAATCGAATAAAGAAAATGCAGCATTGGATTTACATGAGAAAACGAGATGAATTTATAGCCAGTATATTTCATTATTTACATGACTCGTTTCTATTTTCATTGAAATATGACGCACTCTTAAAAATCGTTCTAATTTATCCAATATAATGTCGTTACAATTTATACAATCCAATAAGTTATTGTATATACGTATACAATATATATTACAAGATTAATTTTGAAATGTCCTGACATTACTTGCGCCTAATGAGATAAAAAAATAAAAAAAGATCGCAAAATAAGAAGAAAATGAGAATATCTCTTTTTTTATTGAATTTAATTGATAATATTATTGAAAAATTAATGTTTGTTAACTAAAATTTCACGTGTTACAAAAACTATCTAATAAAATAATAAATTATAATTATAATTTGTCTAGATTATTGAAAAAAATATATAACGTGTATTTCTTAATCTTCATGAGAAAAATTGAACGTGTTAAAAAGAAACATTGCACGTTCTGATCAACAATACATGTATTTCAATTAAAATTTTATCAAATAAAAAGATGAAATAAAATAGAAAGATTATTTTTTTAAATTAATGAAGAGTTTTTCTATGAGAAATCTACGAAAGTCTTACGATAAAAGTAATAAAAGCAAACGAGGATGCCTTCGTTTAAATTTGGATGCAGAGTTCATTCTCGCGCGTGAGCGCGAAAACGACTATACCCGTCACCCAATATATTGAACGTAACCCACTATTTCGACCGACCGGGTTTTGCACGATGCAGTTCATGCAGAATACGACTTTTTTTCTCGTTGTCTCCGATTGGTACATTCTATACATGTATTTATATATATATATATATATATATATATATATATATATATATATATATATTCATTCGCTTTGTGGAGCTGCGACAGCAATACGTGAATTTCTCGGATTTTTCTCCACGCATGTTTGTCAACGTTCTATTATTTCGCAAATTGTCGTCGTATAGAATAAGTCTCATACTTTTGACGTATATTTTTGCAAAAGTTGTATATTTTTTTGTCTTTTGTCTCGTATAAATAGGGGATGCACGTTCTACCGTTTGTTGATTTTTAGACGACTGCTAACAAATATTGCATAAAAAAATATTTGAAATGTTTTGTTGCGCGAAGTTTAAAAAACATTCTTATCCGACACGAGCGATAAAGAAATCGACTGTTGCGTTCAATAAAAATGTAACGAGCAAATAATTTTGAAACTATTTGAAATATTGAAGGTAATATTGAACAAAATATTTTATCAAAATAATTTTTTGCATTTGGCATAAATATAAGGTACGTATAAATACGTGTGTATGCGTGTGTATGTGTGTGTAGGTGAATGCGTTATGTGCGATATGTATGAATCCCCTATCTAGCGATTAATTGTTTGTAATTAATGTTGTAGTAATTTATATATAAAAATGTCAGATGTCATATTTAGTTATGCAAACATATAAAAATCATTGTAATTTTTAGCTTTAAAAGTCATAGCCAGAACTGCAGTCAAAACTTTTGAAAAAGTTACGAGTGTACAGGTCGGAATTTTATGTATAAATTATCCAAGGTTTTTTTGGATAATCATACATAAACAATAATTTTAAATAAACGATATTAATTTCAAAATGATAGCTCTTAAATGATGGATCTTAAAATGGAATTATAGAACTAAGATATTGATTTTTGGCAGCATTTCAAATAAGAAGATAAATAAATTCGCAAGTCACCACATTATGTCAATGCGATTTTCCACCGCTGCTTATGCCCAAACGAGTGATCTGATTCTTTCAAGCACTTCATGATGAATGGCGAATTCGTAAGAATGCACGTAGAGATTGCGGATGCTGAGCACGACGAGGCTAGCTCGTCCATTCTTCTCGAGGACGACGCAGCTTCTTCCATTTCGCTCTTTCTCGCCGCTTTTTTTTCCTCTTTAGGCCCTGAAGCTACGTCGTAAGAACCATCTGTCTCGTTTGTTTCAGGTTCTACCACCTTGGAAAGCTGCCAAGTCCGGAAGTATATCCTTCAAAATTCGTACCAACGAACCCAACGGACTGATCATGTACAGCCGCAGCGGAGCACACACCAGAGTACGTATTTCTGATTCATCCTTTTTAATAATTATAATATCGACAATCGTTGTAACAATTTGAAAATATCAAATAGACAACAAAAATTATTTTTTTAAATATAATTACTAAATTTGAGAGTAACTTTTGCACATAAAAAAAAGGATAATCCGAAAGAGCTTTAGAGATAATAAAATCGAATGTGGCTACCAAAGCGCGATTACGCGTCTGTACAATTATTGGCTGCTGAAAACGTTTTTCGAAATAACAAGCCGCTTTTGTCCCAAAACTCATTCCGGCCGCGGTTGCACACTCGACTGACGGTAATTTAATTATCGATGCACAATTCCATTCTCCTGACACCGACGATCGATGAGTTCTGGTGGTCAGTGACCTTTACGCCTGAATTTTATGATTATTTAGTATTTTGAGACAGTCTCTCTCTTTTCTATCATTCTATATAAATATCCTTCAATATGTAATTGTACAATTGTTAAATTAAAAAATATATACGAGTCACATTTTGAAAATTAGAATTTTTTCTATAATTAAATTAATGAAAATAGGCCGACGCTAAAAATAACTTCAATAACCAGAAATAGTAAATAAGACATCATTTTGTGTTATTATAAAATAAATCTATATTAATTGATAATTCAGACATATTATGTAATTATTGTATTTTAAAATATATATTTTTTTAATAATTTTTTATCAATCAGCTTTGTTACACAAATGTAAAAAATTATATGAGTCTTCATCTAATCAAATTATTTCACAAATTGTAAGTATTGTTCATATTAAACCTCTTTTTATACTAGATAAACCTGGATTGCCACAATATATCTTCATTTATTCGTAATCCTATTAATAACAATGATATGCTGACATGCGATAATATATCTTCATCTATCTATCTGTAGCAACAGAAATTCAATAAATTGCGACAATAAGCTTTTTTTATTTTATACAATAAATAAAAAATATAAATCTCCTTATACTACCTAGCTATAATTCACAAATATGTGAAAGAATCTGCTATATCATATTTTCTTTCTATATAATTTAAATATAGTTTGTGAAATAGATTATGAAAAGAAGTAATATAACTTTACAAATTATTAATCAAAAATTCCAACTAAAAATTTAATAGATATTAAAAATCAAAGCAGAGAGTAATAAATATTAAAAATCAATTGCACTGTAAAAAAGCATGCACGCGGAAGCAATTTATTTTCCATTAGTAGTAATGCTGTAATAAAAATGGGCGGTCTATTTCTCTACTTATTACAGCAAGATCTATTTGCCTTCGAAATTCTTGGAGGACATCTCTACTTGCATGTCGATCTTGGAAGTGGTCCTGTTAAAGTAAGATCATCAAAGACACGCATCGATAATGGTGCTTGGCACGACGTTGCCCTAAGAAGGGTCGAAAGAGAGGGTCGAGTCACTGTGGGTGATTATACAGCCGAATTTCGTACGCCAGGTAACGTAATGTAAATCTTTCTACTGATATTACTTTTTTTCAAAATGCGTGAGAAAGAAGTCATATAATTTAGCAAAAATCAAAATAATTTTTCGTGAATTTTTCTAATTAATTATGGACTGTTGTGAAATTTATTTATTATAGTCGTATAAATAAACAAATTTGTAATTTGTTTATTTATACAACTAATTTCTAAATTTGGAGCTTCTATCTCAAAATAATTAATTTGTTGGTATGCATATGTATATATTATTGACAAATATATAATTATAGAATAAAAAATAGAAATAAAAAGAGATAAAGAAATTTCAAACATATATGTATGCTGTAACGTAAGTTGATATCTTGCAAGGAGGAAGTTTCTCATATTGATATTCTTATTGATATTCAATTTAAGTCTTTTAAAGTTGTATAGGTCTATCTGCTTTTTCGCGGAAAAAGAGGAAAGTTTAATATTTTTCTTGAAACTTCGCAATCGATGCCAACGCCTATCATAGCTGTATTTATACGTACACATACACACACAGTGACGATTTTTCAAAAAGAACTATCTCACCCCTTATACACATAAAATGTCTAACCCAACGTAGCAGATAAGTGTCCTCGAGCGTGTAACTCTGAATTATGAGCGGCTCGGCCCGCTCAGTTCACCGTTTATGTCGCTGGACCGCGATGTCCAGAATTTACTCACTACACCGTGGTTAAGTGATAAAGCACTACGTATGTACGGTCGCAAACACGCGAACGATACCGCAAAAAACGGCAAAAAGAATTTCATTGAGACAGCGAGAGTCCATATATCCTCTTCCAGATAACGGTGACTTAGATTGTTGAAGATGTTATTGCAATTGAGCTTATTGCTCCGATGTTTTTTTTATAAAGAAGAGATAGAATCTAATTTATATCTAGTAAGTTGTGTGTGTTATATAAACAAGATGTATAATATCAAAACTAGTAATAGTAATTGCATCAACGGAAAATAAAGATATTTATATCGAGGAAAGATGTTTGTACAAATATGTATGTAATTTAATCAAATATTAATTAAATTTTTTAATTATTAAGAATAAATAACAAAATCAGAAATATTTTTCTCTTTTCTTGTTATATGTTATAAAGTACATATATGTACACATACACGTGCACAAGTATTTTATAACGCGTTTTTTGTAATCCTCTAATGACGTCAAAGTGTTTTTAGCTAATTCGACTCTCCAAAGCAAAAAATTAATTAACTGATAAATTAATTACTTTACAAAGGATAGTAACTTCTTTTTCTCTGAAATTTGTTGAAGGATTAACTTATCCTCTTTTCTATTAACTCTACTCATCAGTAACTTCCTCTTTGCACATGTACATTTACTGTTTTCTTTTTTAACTTTTTGCGTGCGAGATAACATAGATTATTTATCTATATTCCATATTCTTGCATTAATCTAAATATTAAAAATTAGATTTAATAATGCGTCAATATCTTCTATACCTTTGAAAATAATCTTTCGAATCGGATATATTTATATATTATCATCTATTTCATTACATATTTATATATTATCATCTATCATTATCGTCTATTGATCGAATTTATTCGTTAATAATTATTTGCTCTTTAGTTGTTTTAATATATGTTCATTTGCTGCATTGTAAAGTGCATTGATTTTTGTTGTCTGATCAAATTTCCCGAATATAATATAAATTTCCGAAAATATGATATATAAATTTCTTTGTCTTGTTCTATCTATCAATTTGCTATCTATTTCTCTTTTTCGGTTTCTTTTTCTTTTCCTTTTTCGTATATTCGCGAGATAAATTTGTAACTTTAATTGAACTATATCATATAAGCGTTTTCATCTTATAACGGTCGCAGTTAGTTATTAGTCAAATTATATGGATGGTTAGGTAATTTACCGAGAAAACTTATCTTTAAATTCTATCAATATAGCTTGGAGCAATTTAGTCCTCGTGCTCTTGTATAATAAAATCGCAAATAACGCGCATCATTGTCAAGCACAAAAAAAATTTCAGATGCTTGATATTTCTTTAAAATAATTTGTTTATTCGACATAAATTATGAATAGGAAAATAGATTTGGAATCGAGAAATAGAGGACTACAAATACAAAGATATATTTTTCTAAGATAAAATGTAGCAAAAAACCCAGAATTAGATGTATATTTTTTCAAGATAGTGTATAAACAAACATAAAAAATAAATTAAATGGAAAGATGAAATTTTTGTATAAAATAATATATATAAATCCGTTGTATATATATATATATATATATATATATATACACACACACATATATATATATATATCACCCTCTCTTTTATAAACTATTTTCTAAATAAAAACAAATTTTTAAAAATGTTTTAATATATTACGAAGTATCAAAGTATGTCGAGAGTAACTTTCAAACGGATAATATCGGGAAATATTAGAACACCTAGTTTGGTCGAAGTTCTATATAAAAGTTTCTAACCGATATTAATTACGCAGTATTTATATAACCAAACGTATATAATACTTGCTCGTTTATTAAACGCTAATATTAATTAAACTGCGCTATACTTTAGAATGTTTCTCTATTTATCCTTTTATGATATCCTTCATCGATTCGGTGATTATACAGACTGATTAAAATTTGTTTACGTACATATTTTTTGATATCCTTCATCGTTTCGGTGATTTTACAGAATGATTAAAATTTGTTTACGTACATATTTTTTGCATATACTTAAATATTAGATAAAAATTTCGACTTACAATGCAACGTATAACTAATATAATTAATAATATTATTGACAGGTGATTCCACGCAATTAGACTTGGATGGTTTGTTATATATCGGTGGTGTGGGTGCACCATTCGCGCCTTTAACAGTTCCGCCCGTTCTATGGACGGGTGCCCTTCGACAGGGCTATGTGGGTTGCATGAGAGACCTCGTTATTAGTGGACATCCAGTAGATATCGCAGGATATGCGCAACAACAAGATTCTGGTAAGAGATTTAATTTTTATGCAATTATATATTCGTGAAATGATAAAATCAAACATCTACGAGTATGTAAAAAAAGTCCCACCGCCAACGATTTGTAATAGATTACAGAAAATACGAAAAATATATGTCATCACGTTTCTGAATTCTAATATAACACTATAAATTTGAGTATGTGTCTATTATTATATAATCTCGATTACAAAGATATAATAAATCTTTATAAATTATTATTTCATTTAATAAGAGTAGTAATATTTTGATAAAAGCTTATAGATATCTCTCTAAAATAAGGCAACTAAACGTAACAATCACATTGCGCTAACAATTGCTGGAGCAAAATATTTTGTCGTCCTACTTGATATAACCATGTTTATTAACTATTTGCTAATAAAAACAATCCCTGCGGCGTGTGATATTATTGATGTTTGTACGGAAAAAGCGGCGGTATGATTTTTCGATGATGTAGATAAAAAATAATACGCTGCGGACAGGATTCGAACCTGTGCGGGCATAGCCCATCAGATTTCGAGTCTGACTCCTTAACCACTCGGACACCGCAGCTTACGGACGCTCCCTCTTATTTCAACCAACTTCTGACATGTGGTACAATCTACTCCGACCAGAAAATATTGAATATCACAAATTTTATATTTCCAAATTTAACACGAAATAAATACGTAAAAAACAATCGAATTTATAATTTACTTCAAAAATAAACAAAATGCTATGAAAAATAAATGGAGAAGTATTAATAAAAAAGAAAAAAATGACTATATTTAATCAAAATATTATAATATATTGTACAATAATATATCCAAATAATAATTCTTCTTATTTTCTTAGTTAAACAATCAGTGTTTATAATTATTGTACAATTTTACAATATATTTTTTATAGAAATTTTATTTATTTTAAATTAGAATGTGCGTTAAAAAAATTTCGAAATATGAATTTAAAATTTTTGATCATTATGTAAATCATAAATTTCTACCATTGTCACTTAAATGCCTTTTTTTATTTAACTTGAAATTTAAATATGCCATTATTAATGGTTAATATATATATATATATATATATATATATATATATATAAATTAATATTTATAAAATCACTTAATTAAATCAGTAACAGCATTAAATTGTGATAATTATGATAATAATTACAATTATTAATTATAGTTATTTCATTTTCTTATATTAACGATTGAAAATTTTGCAATTATATTTTTGCATGCATAGGTGCAGTGAGACCTGCTTGTCATATTCAATCCCCACATTGCCCTTCGCAACCGTGTATGCACGGTGGCCATTGTCTCGAAGGATGGAATCGATTTCACTGTGATTGCACCAGCACACCTTTCACAGGACCCACTTGTGGCAAAGGTAAATATATGTATAATTTTTAATCAAATACATATACACACAATTGCTTTTACGTAAAATTATACATAACTTTTTTTCGAAGAGAATTAACATTTCTACATTCAAACTGAGATAATTTAATATTTATAATAGTTTTATTTTCTAACTTTAACTATATATTTTTTTATATGATAAAAATAAAATAAATTTACTTTTTTCTCTTTAATCGACACAATGATCAATTTTAAAATAATTTTAAAAAAATAATCCTATATATGTCTCTCAAGAAACTCGAATTTGATTTTTCTTTTTTGTGAATAATATATTATTGTTATATACACTTATCGCAGATGCATCGACACTGCATTTGAACGGCACGCAACAAATGACAGCACTGATGCCGGAAGAATCCAGAACACAGGCGGAGGAAGTCATCATACGATTTAAGACAACTAGACCACGTGGACTTCTATTAGCGACAAGCTTGGAGAACAGTGCCGACCGTTTACAGATTTATTTAGACGAAGGCAAAGCGCAGATGCTAATTCACATCGGAGATCGAGAAAAGGTAAGTTTATGAAATATTCAGCTCTCATCATTATTATAGCGATAATCAATAAAGTAATGGAAGTAGTCCTAAATTACCTCAAAGATATAATTTATATTTCAACTCAAAATAACAAATAAAATGTACGATGAAATTTTAACAAATTATCATCAAATGTAAAAATTTCAAAAATAATTTTGATAATTGAAAACTTTAAAAATTTTTAATTACTATTTTAATTACTATTTTAATTTGTATTTTTTAATGTTATTTAACTGTTCTAACGTTTAATTTAACGTGATATAAAATCATAATTACTAGATTTTATCATCTCTTGCATAAACGCTATGTTCTTTGTTAAACGCTATTTAAACAAATATTATTACAAATAGAAACGTGTTGTCGTGAAAGGGCAAAATATTGAATTTAGCTCGGACAAATTCGATCCACTTAATGTCAAAGAGTACCCGCTCAGAAGTTAAAGGACCACGTAGTTCGCGAAGATTTACATTCCTGGGAAGCATCTTCGACGTCGCTCTAGTATAGTTGACGTAGATCGTTCTCTCAGTTGCGAACGACGTCATGACATTAACTTAATACGTCACTCGCAAGAACATCCGCCAAGTAAATGGCTGGCGGCTCTCGTCTTCATGTAACGGAATATTCTTTGCGACGGAAATGTTGAACGCGTAAAGCATATTCTCGATAATTACTTCCGAAACATCAGATAACGCGCAATAATTTTTCATACTCTGTTTTATTAATTCTTTCAAAAATATGAACTCCTATGGAAGACTTAAATTAATTATACTTATAATCCCTATAGGATATTTAATATTAATTACACTTATAATCCTTATAAGATATTTAATATTTTAATATCTTAAAGTTTGAAAAAAACAGATAACACTTTTGACATATAACGTAAAAAATTCAAGTATCTTCGATATTATTATATATCGTTTAGCATCATTTTTTAAGGATCAATTTATTTTTATTAAACATTTATCATCATAGGATATTTAATCTCACAAAAACTAATGAATCTCTGCGAAATTCTTGATTATTGTAATTTTTAGTAATTTATTCTTTTATACTATAACAAATGTATATAATATTACTTTTACATCGCGATATAATAATGTATCTTGAGTAAAAAAATTTTCGTGAGTTTATTAAGAATCGGTAAGAATACTGTTCTCCAAGGTCGCAAAGAGCGTTTCCGTGCTGCTCCATCGATCGTTTTCCCGGGAGCCAAATGCATTTCTGAATGCATCTCGCAACTCCTCGTTCACGCAATCCCCGACACCATCCCTCGCTTCTGTCACCCACATTCATACGTGGAAATACATAAGCAATTCTGCAATCACGTTTCCGGTCGAATGAATAGTAAATCGCTCGATTCGATTTCACAGCTATCTCATTAGATGATGCGTAAATGCACATTTTATCTTTCTTCATTTCCACGCATTGATAATTGTGAATATCTTTAATTCTCGCAAAAGTGTTATTATTAAAAATGTTTGTCGTTAACTTTTTGTTCGATAAATCATAAATACTTGAAAATAAAAAGATAAAATAAAAAATAAAGTTTTCAATTATACATTCATCTACACATATGTTAATGTAATTTGAACGAAAATATATATGCGTGATTAATATATAATACAAAATTCCTATTACATATTAATCATGATTTTACAATTTAAGATGTATCTAAAATTCTGGATACAACTCGTTTCTGAATTATAAATCGTCTGAATTATAAAGTGTTAAAAATAATTAATCATAGAAAGCATTAATTTGTCCCGCGCATTGCATTGTTGTCATATTAAACTCTCAGATATTGTATTAAGCAACGGTGGTACCTGAATTAACAATCTTGGCTCGAAGTCACTTGCAACTCTCGTACATGTGCGAATGAGTAACCAGACGTACATACATGTACACAAATATAAGCGCGAACGTACAAGGCGCACGATAATTTACGGTAATGTTTCAATCTCTGTATTCTCTACACGGACTCGTTAATTGAGCGGAATAATTGATATGATAATGCGGCAAGCTTGATGATTAGTCTGCGGAAAACCGGATTCCACAAAGTTCCTAGGAAGTTTGAGAGCGTTTCAATAAAGATTCTATCGCGTTCGCTTCCGATTTTCTTGAAATTATCCGCAATTTTTGATAATTTATTAATTTTTTAATTGTTGCGAGACAGAAATTGAAAATCATAAAGACAATATTCAAATAATTTCAATAAATATGTCCAAATATGCGACAAAAAAGGAAAAACTTTCTAATACTTTCAATTTGAAACTTCGTATTTTATGAAAACTTTAACTGATAAATATTAAATAATGTATAAAGCTATTTATAATAATTTTATAATAATATCGTTAATATTTTATCGATAAGAATTATTGTATATTTATCAAATCATTATATTTATAATAAACCCTTTTCCATATTTTTATGTATATATAGATTTTGTATTTTACATATACATATGTATAATGTGACAGACATTCTGCATTATATAAAAACTTTCTAAAGTTAAATTTATATTTTATATATAGCTTGATTTTGATTCAAATAAAGTTTAAATGTTCTGAAAAAAGCGTGAAAAATAGTTTGATAAAAATACTGTTCAATTTATCAAGCCAATTTATCAAATATAACTTTTCACTAACGGAAATATTGATGGAGTTGAAATCGATTTTTCTTTAATAAAAATTCAATAAATTGTTTTTGAATTTATATATTGAGTATAAGAAATGTATTTAATAATTGTTGACGCAAATTGCACGACAGCTGCAATCAGAAATTTGCAATAATAATATTCAATCCGGTAACGATGCATAGATGACGTTAGATGACAAACGCGTGTCAGGTGCTACACGACACATGATATCGTATGTTGCATAGGAACTGTGTCAGATAGTGACGAGTTGCTTGGATTTATGGAGCTTGGCCGAATGACAGACATCTCATAGAGATGGTTTATCGATAGCTTTAAAGCTATTGCGACACGTTGATGACGTTGTTACTGTAAAACGCGATAAAATTTCGAAAACTCAGTGCAAATATTTCGACTGACTTTGTTTTAGTATTTAAATTTTAGAATAGAAAAAAAAGATCCTAGGAAAATTAAATTTCTTCTGAAAATTTGCAATTACTTTAAATATTTTCTCTTCCAATCAAAATTTTCCAAGATATAGATTTGTCATATGCGGCTTTAAATTCTTCACTTTAATATAATATTCATAGTTATTATAGATGTTTATCACAGTTAGCATCCTGCGATAAACTTAATCGATACTTTTTAATTTCAGTTATTGGTAGCTGGACAAGGTCTTAACGATGACATGTGGCATACATTGAGATTCTCCAGACGCTCCAATTCGCTCAAATTTCAAGTCGACGACGAAACAGCTATACGAGGTATGTACATTTAAAATTATATGTATTGCTAGATAAAAATTATTATAAATAAATATTTTTTTATTTACAAAAACAGTTTTTATTCAAGACTTTTTTTTCTAAATTTGGCACCTTTATAAATATTGATTTTTGTAATTAAATAATTTTTGTAATTAAATAATTTGTATGTGCAAAACGTTATTATTAAAAAGAATTCGTGATACTTTATAAGATAATTAAACATGCAAAAGGAAATTGGATAATCAAATAAAAAGAAAATTAAATAAAAGGAAAGACTGGTTATTTAAACACGAACTATATTATTAACTTGACGGAAATGAAATGCCATTGGACGTGTAAAGTGCAGCAAATTGTATGTCGGTACCAGATGCAAAATAGTTGATTGGTTTTGTGCAGCAGCGGTGCAAGTGGCGTCATCGATCGCAAAGTGTAAGGAACATTGAAGGAAAAAAACAAATCTATTTCAGGATGTCAGGAGGTCAATGAAAAAGAGAGAGAAAGAGAGAAAATAAGTGCCAAAAATACATATCCATCTCTTATTTCATTCAAAACATTACTACGTTAAATATTAAGATTAACAATAAAAAATATATAAAAATTTTGATTTTTTTATTTACTTATTAATCGTCACATAATTGTTTTATTTTTATTATATGTGATATTAAGGTTTAAAGCCTATTTTAGACGATTTCTCACGAATTCGCGATAAATTCCCCGACAAAATTTCATTCATAATTTTATATGTTGCTAATATCATAATATATATGTATATTTTAATATATATTTATATATGTATTCTATTTAATTAAATATGCGTTTTCTATATTACACGCAAAATTATAAATAAAACTCTAATTTTATCGTAAAATAGATTATTTAAATCAAGTTTTTTGGAAATATTAAAATTAAGTAATTAGTAAAATAAGTAATATATTAAAAGTATACATTATCATAAGTAATACATTATCTTTTCTCAGAAGATACATTATCATAAGTAATACATTATCTTTTCTCAGAAGATTAACAAATGTCATTATGTATAAAATGACCACAGTAATGACAGCGATAAATCTATTAAACGATTTTCTTATATGTATGTTTAGAATATCGATATCTTGCTTTTATATGTGACTATCGTACCATAATTAAACTTGAATTCGTAATGTAATCAATAGACCTTTTCTCTATACTAAAGCTTTTACATGAGGCTAAAAATCGTGCCAAAATTAAACCTGAATTCGTAATGTGCGTAAAAGCGAACGATGCTTCGAGGAAATATTAGAACGAAGTTAGAAGTTACTATATTATCTTCCCGTAAAGCGATATTTATTAATTCATAATTTTCAAGAAAAAATTTCTTCATTATTTGAAAATAATTAATCATATAAACATAAAGCAGAGCTAATGCTTTTACTTTTATTTATTCAAACGATATAAAGAATTTATTTATTCTTGAAGATTAAGTACTTACAAATATACAGTGGAGGTACATAAAATATTTATGGTTTGATTATGAATATGATAATGTGATAACACTTATTTGAAATGCTTAATTATTAATTTATTAATAATTTGAATGAGAAATTGAATCACCTTTTTATATTATGATTGCAATATTACTTTTTCATATTCAATAAAATGTCTTTTATTAAATATTCTTTACATACTATAGTGAAATGTGTTATGAAAGACTATTATTAATTATACTTTCTTAATTTTCAAGATTAAATATTATTTTATAAGAAAACCGAAAAATATATAATTTTTAATCATATTATAGATCATTATATCTATTATATTTCTATGAAACTTAACTTTTATTTTTAATTACTTTTAATGTTAAATATGCTATGTTTATAAAAAGGAATTCGATTCATAATTATTTAAAGCATATATAATTTAAAAGAAACGCGGTTAAAATAAGGAATAATTACCTATAAATTAATTTTGCTATTACCTGGCACAAAAAAAAAATTATTATAGAGACATGCAATGAAATTTTTTAATAATGAATCTTATATGTAGTGCATTTTATACAAATTTCGAAGTAAGAAATTTTCCTCTCATGTGATGTTTCTCGCAATTCAGACGCGTTTTGCACGTTTCGCATCGATTGTATCGATTCGAAGAGTCTTTATACATCGTATGCATGTGCACGTTCGAACTTCTCGCTACAAGGCGAAAGAGACCGTGCGAGGGAGCAATATCATATTTCAAAATTTCTATTTAGCATAAATATCTGACCGCGGCCTCGGAAATTTCGCGGCGAAAGTCGAAGTGAGAGAGAAGTCAAGAAAAATACATATAGATACAAGAACGTGGAAAAATATGGAAAGTGAAGACAAAGATAAAGGATCAATATAGTATTTGTTGTCATTAATTATCAGATAATATTATGCAACAATATAAAAAAAATTGTCGATGTTGATTAGAATATATATATAGCGAAAAAAATTTTATCTTTATAAAAAATTTTATAGAATCTTTATTTTATTTTACATAATTTTTATGGAATTTTTTGCTCAAATATTTGAGTGGTTTCAATATATATTCAATATATATTATTATTTCTGTTTCAATATATATTCAATATATATTATTATTTCTGTTTCAGTCATACACAAAAATGAACACCAAGAATTTTTAATTATATAATTTAATTTTTATATTTAATTTTTAATTATACACATATGTATGCGAAAATTTTGAATATTTTAGCTTGATGTATACTTTTTAGCTTCTTTTATGTTAGAAAAATTAATTTAATTGATTATAAAAATATTAATGCTCAGTTAGTTACTTAATTTTTTTCAGATATAAAATATTGAAAAAAAGCAATAATCGATTTAAATTTCTGTTTTTAGTTTGAAGCACTTATCTTAAAATTAAAATAAAATATTATCTGATAATTTACGATATAATGTGCAGTAGCAGAGTTGTATACATATGTTGAGTTATAAAACAAAAACATATAAATTATATGTATTTAATAAATAATATGTATTTAAATATGTATTTAAATTATATGTGCTTATATAAAGTCATATTCATAATAATTAATATTGAAAAATAATTATTGCTCGCAATTAAATATTTTATCGCCTTTTAAACCGATATTTAACAAATATTACATAATTCCTGACAAAATTTGTTTAAATATAAATTTTTATAAAGTATACTAAATGAAAATTTAATATGCTTTTTACTTCAATTACTTCAAAGAACTATAAATTTAAAAAAATGTTGTATATATAATTATGTAATATATTTAATAATCGAAAAAATGATCAAGTGATTATTTTCACAAGTAATAAATAAGATATGAAAAAATTAAATTATAAAAAAAATAAATTGCTTACCCCAAGATCATTTCGTCATCGCCTGATGCCATCTTGGGCCTCATCCTCCTCCTCCTCCTCTCTTGTTCGCTCTTTGCTGCACTTTCATGGCACTCACACACGAAAATGATCACTCGCGAAAACACTCACTAGACGTTAATCGCACGTCACTTTGCACGGCATTCTCGATCACACGCGACATGCATTTACAATATAAGGCGACAAGAGATTAACACGTACATTGCGTCGCACTACGATGCGTAAATCTACGCACTTTAGCGATCCAAATTCACGCATCATCCATCGTAGCAACGTCAAACAACAAAGAACGCGATGTAGAATCGAATTATTCGATATCCATTTTGCTTATTTTTCCCTAATCTCATAAGCGTAGGCAAGTGACAATTAAATCGGACGAAGATTTCAAAACTCCGTTATAAGATACATTCCGATCAAAATCTTGCCAAGGAAACATTATCCACAGAGGTTATAAAACGATTACTATGTAAAATTGTTATTTTCTATTACTCCGATTCTTAAATCACGTAAAATTTATACTTCGATAAATAACTCCGACATTTCGCGCACACGCGAATCATTAATTATTATAATAAACGTACGGAATTACCGTATTTCTCGAGGAATAACAACGACGACGACGACACGAAACATTTCGGGCACTTACCTCGCGGCTCGAGACTCAACTGTGTGAAGGTTACTGCGTGTGCTGGCAATACTTCGCCGCGCAAACGATAAGGTCATTGTTGGCAACAACGCCTTGTACACCGTCAAGATCAAATACTCTGTAATAATTAAATTGTTATCACTACGACATATTTAACGCACTGTAAGTTGTATTTATATGAAATATTATTCTTGAATTTCGTGCATGAATTATTAAATCAATCATTTAATTAATTATTAATTATTAAACAGATAATGTGTATTACATTTATTTGATTAATCATTAATTATTATAAATGATTAATGTATCACAACTTTTCTTTGCTTGAATTATTCGATACGGCAATTTATGCATTACTGCGCGTTCTCTCGATTTGAAAATGATTGATAAATTACGTTTGAATTAACAAAAATTTCGAAGCGTAGTGCGAGATATACTCGAATTCAAGCAGAATCGAAAGAAAAATAATTATTATTCATAAAGATTACACTGAAACAATAACTTCTATATAATTTCTATCCTTTGTTACTTTCATTTGTATTTTAAATATATAAATTTCACGAAGTACCTGCTTTGATAAATAATCCCCGCTACAGTACGTTTATGAATGCTCAATCGTAAGAGTTAGTAATTAATCGTGCAGATTAATAATTTTTAATTGTAACTAAAGAAATTGTTTATTAGCTTGAGTGACAAGATTGAATAACAACAAAAATGCAAATTTGAAATTATATATATTTCTATCTCCATATTATTCTCACGAATAAGAAACTTTTAAATAATAACAGCGTATATGTGGCAATTTGTCTTATAAAAAATAAAATCTTTTTAGAAGTGATTATACATTCCAAGAGCTATTATCTCGTAGAAGGATAAGCAAATAACGCGATAAATACGAAAGATACGATATTAATTATCTCTCAATAAAGTTATGATGTCTTTGAAATTGGAAAACAGAAATATTCGATGGAAAAACGGAGAGAAAGAGAAAAGAACAATGAAGAGATAGAGAGAAAGACAAAAAGGGTAAGGATTAACTGCATCGCACGACTAAATTGCCTCGAGCGTAAATACAGGTGTACACGAGACTGAGGGTGGATTTTGCCATGGAGAGAATTCTACCTTCCGATAATCAATTTCCACATCGAGATTTATCAGTCGGTAGATTCACCGCGGCGCGGCGGATCATTCGGTCTACCAAGATTTATGCGAGCGCCATACGATGCGGCCGTGGTCTCGTATAGGAACGATGCTCTCGCGTGGAAAATAATTTTCCGCCTTCCCTCGATCATCGCACGCCGCGCGATATCAAATGTTGTTATTTGTCGAATCGACGAATCGGAAAAATTGGCGGACATTTTGGAACTAAATCGTCTCATCGTTCTCAGCTATTGTTGTTAGCGATGATTAAATAAGGGTCATCGATTTTCAGTTATAGTTGTACAAATCTTTCTGCTATTTGAAAAAACAGAAAAATATTCATGGATAATTTATATAAAAACTTACTTCGCTTTAATCATTTTTATCTATTATTCTATAAGAAAGAGTTTTATGTCAAAAATAAATAAGCTTAAAATAAGACACATTAATATATAGATAAATTATAAAGTTTTGGTTCTCTTTCTTGAAGAAATAAATTTGTAAAATAAATTTGTAAAATATTTCGAAAAATTATCGATTAATATAAATGATCAAAATAAAAATAAAAAATTATAACAATTTTTTAATACTTGGAAATTTTGTATTCTCTTGAAAATTTTGTAAATAGTATCATAAATAAATATCTTTTAAAATATCTAACTTTCGATAATCCCCAAAAAATTGTACATACAGAGAATACTGAGTGGAATTAATTTATTTAAAATAAAATATATATTTAATTTAAAAAAATAAGCATTTCTTCCTTTGCTTTCGTAAAGTTCGGTAGCATCCTACATGTTTTACAAAGATTCTAACAAATTTTGAAACGTCAAAAAAATTTTTATTTCTATAATACAGTTCCTGAAAAAATAATAACTTGTAATACGTTACATGAAGTATTTTGTATATTTATGTTAAGTATTTAAAAAAAATTACATGCGAAGAACATCTTTAGACGATTAGGCAAGTGAAAAGATGAGTAATTGTTTGGCCGTTCCATAGATTTGAATAATTAATGAAAATCATCAAGAAAGTTTTGGAAGATTGATAGGCGGGAAAAATCGCACGTTATAAAAATTAAAGAATTTTTCCAGAAATTTTTCACACAAGTTTCAAGAACCTTCTCGTCGTGCAAATTGTATATAACTGGGAGCAAGATTGGTGAATTAGAATCTGCGGTATAGTTTATTGCAAAAAGTTATTAAAGTTTCCTTAAACTGAAAATTTGAGATGCATATTGCTTTAAATAAACAATTAAATTATAAAACTTATTGTTAGAAGAATTGATATCTTTCTATAAAATATCCAAAAACGCTAATTTTTCCGATATATTTTGTATTTTTCATATACGTATAAATATTCAAAATGATGAAAATACAAATCTGGGCACTTTTTATTTTTAAATACTAATATCTTATTTATTATAAAATTACGGCTTGTATAGTTAATTTGAAAAATCAATTCTTAAATTACAAAATCTTTTTGAATAAGGAATGTCTTTTAAACTATAAACAATTTAAAACAAAGAGCTTTGCCGTAGTTAAAATTTATAGGAAACTAGATTGATAATGAAATCTTGTTTCTTATTGAAACCTTGTTTTTTTAAATTTCAAATGAGAAAGGTTATATAAAATATACTTAATATTACCAAGTATGCAATTGCTTTTGGAAATATCATGTGTTCGATCAATTTTAAAAGAGAATAATAAAAAAACTTACACAGTTTTATCTTATCTAAAATCTCTCGTTACTATGTTACTACTGTATTTCAATTTTGATAAAGCTTCTTTTGAAAAAAAAAAATCGCATTTCTTCTATCAGATAAATTATAAATTTCCCATGGGCGCTCTCGTTTCTTTGTCTAATCAAAAATTCAAAGTGCATCGCGCAACGAATTCACTTTTGCATTCTATTTGCGACTTTTTGATCAAGCTACTCTTAGGAATGCTAATCAATGATTTTCCAAAGTTATGATTGTTATCACATATGTCAATCAAGAAAATATATTAACGAGCATATGTCGTTTGTGATAAAAATATTTTAAATAAAGAAAATGTAAAAAATGAATCAAACAAAACATAAAGTGTTTTATGGAAACGCGATTAAAATATAATAAATAAAGCATAAAATATTAATAAAATATAATAAATAAATTTTACAATAGCTTTAGATGGAAAAATGTTTAATAGATATTTTATAGAAGAACGGCATATAATTTTCTAACAAATTATTTTTTTACATATACGTATAATATTATTCTAGTTATTTTAAAAGTTATACATATATTTAAATAATGAAATAATGAATAATTGAATCAATAATCGAAAAAAGAGAAAACAGTTTTTTTTTAAATAATATAAAATTTATACATGGAAAATTTATTTATCGTACAACAGGTGTAAAGGAAAATAAATAGTTTACGACAAATAAAATAAATTTACGACATATTTTTGCGCAAGAGATATTATTGGAATAAATTAATAAAATAATAAATAAATAATTCAATAACAATTTTTTATAAGAATTCAATAACAATTTTTTTACAAGAAATTTTTCTCTATTTTTTCTTGTCACGTTTTATGCTGGGATAACTTATTTTTTTATGTAAGTCAATGCTTCGTTGAAAATAATCTTATTAATTCTATATTTTCTCAGAATCGACTTTCTTGAAAATAAAGTCTTTAAAGACATTAAAAAATGTTATTCTTTCAAATTACCTCTATTCGTATAAAAGGATTATTTTCATAAATATGTAAATAACAAATTACGTTATACACGTATTTAAAAGTACTTCAAAAATACTTGCATCCATTTCTACATAAGAGTATATTTTGCGCCACTTTCTGAACGATCAATACTTGAAGAGGCACGCATCACTTTCGGATGTTCCTCTCGACGCAGAGAATTTTCTCGGCTCGCACGAAAGACCATCTAAGACCGTCGATTTTTCTCTGTTTACGCCGATCCGCCGACCATATTATTTACGAGCGGTAGATACGAGTCGGTGCCATCGATTTTCCCGACATCCAGCGGACGGATTACAAATCGCGAGCATGCAAATGCGCTTTTTATCGTGCCGACTCCTCGAAATGCTCTTCACGCCGCCGTCGGCTGACGCAAACGAGAAAATGCATCCGAAATCGGCGATGGGGTCGACAGCGTGGCATGCGCGGTATTCACGGCACTCTATCGCAAAGCGATGCGTTTCAAGTATAAAGTAAATTATAGTCCACGCGCGATTCCATCAGCGGTAAATGCTTTTTGCAGAAATTCTCTTGAGACTGTCACGCGCAAGTCTCGTTTAATAAGCGATGGACGCACTATAAATAAACAAACAATATAGAAATATCGAAGATCTCAATATGCTTTCTACGCATGATATATTGCTACATTTTAATATCAATATATTTTTTTATATTACATCTTCAGTTTAATATCGACATTACGTCGTGTTGATTATTAATCGCGCTTATAAATAATAATATTTAAATTGTGACTTTTTTATATGTATATATTTATATAAGATAATTATTGCATGTAGGATAATTGTGGCAACACAATAATTCTATTACGATAAAACAGTAATGCAGTATATCTCAGAATATCTTATTAATATCGATAAATAATCCACGCGCGCATTCTGGGCTTACCAATCAGGCCAGCTCCAATCTATAAAACAATCTCCATAGCCAACCACAGTAGCCGTTGTGAAACAGCCACCCTCGCAAAGCTGTCTGCCAAATCACCCTATTAAACTGACGGCGAGTGCCGGCAATATTGAGTTAGGTGGCAATAACCTAAATTGCAATAGCCCTTTACTTCGGTGCAATCGATCGCGCTGGAACAACGATAATTACTGCACAGCGAGGCACATGCGGTTTCTGTCTTGAACTCAGAATAGTTCAAGACCCGTTTAAGTACTAAAATTTTGTAAACTTGCAAATTTTTAGAAATTTTTATCAGGTTTTTTTCGATTAATTTATCGCATCTAATGAGATGTATTGTAAATATAATATACTTTAGTTTACGAAATCATTAAACTTACACATACAAATATTAACATGAAATATACAGTTATATTTTGTATCTCTGTAGATTTTTTATTTTATAATATTTTCAATATCGCGAAACATGAAAGAAATAAATTTTATAAAAAATATAATTTTTCATTTGATATAATTTTCTGGTATTTGTTTTGGAAAAACAGAATTTAATTAATAATAATATTGTAAAATATCTTTCAAGTGTCAATATCTTTTATCTATAAATTATTTCTTGTATTATAAATAATAAAATTAATCAAAAATCTGTAGCAAAATATTCAATCTCTTCTAATATCTTCTCGATAATATCATACGATTTAAATATAAAAAGCAACTTTTAATTATTTTATTGATATTGCGATATGAACACAGCATAATAGCTTTTGTTGTTATCTTAATTAAGAATGACAAATCGTTTGTTGTAATAAAAATAGTGGAGACGCAATTGGGAAAGCAGAGCATCTTGGAGTTTCGTACCCTCCATGTAGGCGGATATCTTCACACGGGCGAGGACATACCACATTTCGTAGGCCAACTGCAGCAGATTTGGTTCAACGGATATCCGTATTTGGAGATTGCGCGCAGCGCTGGAAGCCATCAAACCTCGCACCAAGGTGTTACGCCCATCATCAGAGTTACCGGCAAATTCGGGAAGAGAAACCATCCGGTTCATCATCCGGTAACCTTCACTTCCAAACACACTTTTGTGGGCCTTCCAGTGCTCAAAGCGTATGTGGAGACCAATATCTATTTTCAGGTAAAGATTAATATTTATAACAATTATATTTGTAACAAACCATTGACTCTTTTATTCACAATTTTTCTGGCCATTTTTTAGCAATGCTTTATGGAAACATCGAGATTCTTGTATTCATTTATCATATTTTTTTCAATTTAAAATTTTAAAATATGTCAGAATAAAAAAATGCATATCAGAATAAAGTATGAAATATATTTGGTCAAGCTCACTCTTTCAATGACTTTATCTGAATATATTTATACATGGACATACTAGATATCGAAAAATCGATCTATATAAAAAAAATTACGTAGATATTTTCAAAAAGTGCAATTGCATTGTGCAAACTAATCGAAAAAAAAATTTGAAGTAGTTAAATTGCATCCATGCTTTTTCATTATCAAACAATAAAAGTTTCATCGTCAACCAAAAAAAAATGATAAACCGCAAAATATCCTCCGTTTATAAATCTACATATTGTTTTCCAGTTTAAAACGCGTGAGGCGAACGGCTTGATCCTTTATAACGCCGGAAGGGAACATGACTTCATTGCAGTCGAGTTGGTTAACGGACACGTTCATTACGTGTTTGACCTTGGCGATGGGGCCGTCAGGGTCAGAGACACCTCCAAGTCCAAATTGAACGATGGCAAGTGGCACGCCGTCAGCATCGGTAGACCTGCCTCAAAGAGACATACCCTCGCTGTAGATGATCATGTGACCGCTGTCAACAGCCAGGGCAGCAATGAGAATCTCGATCTTGATGGCATTTTGTATATAGGTAAGTCGAAAGGGCTACAAACGTCATAAAATGCAATAAACTATTTATTTTAACATTATCTACAAAACAGATATAATATGCAATTGTATCCAATCCAAGTATTTTTAAATTCTTAATTATATAATTATAAATCTAAGTTTGTGCTGTCTTTGCTTCTATATAATTCTTATAAGGAATAAAAGACTTTCTTATAGAAAGTTCCATAGAGAATTCGCGTTGTTCTGTTGTTCAGATTAGCATAGTGTGAAAATGACAATAGCAACGAGTGGGAATATTTTAATATATTTAAAAAAAAAGCAGCCAAACTACGTCTGAAACAAGATATTGAAATCTAAAAATGATAAATACGAAGATAATAAATGTTATATATTCTTTAGTTAAAATAAATTTAAGAAGGGTAAGAGATTGAAGTAAGATGAAATATTTAAATTAAAAATTTTTTATTTTAATTATTATTATTTTACAATATGTGTGTGTAAATAAAAGCCTTCGAGATTTTGAATTCTATATATTCTAATTTTTTTAATAATTCTATATATTCTAACTTTCTTAAGTATCTCCTCTTTACTTATTGATGTAACAGAATAGTAAAGGTCTAACATTTTGTAGTAAAATATATGTATTTGCTGCACGAAAAAAATAGTTTCATAGCGATGCAATATTAAATTTAACTAACAATGAATATTGCAGAATATAATTAATTATTAAAAATTCAGAAATCTCCCTCTATTGGAAGCATTAAAAAAATTTTTTTAGATTATTTCCTAAAATATGATTAAATTTTCTTTACTCTTATCCACTTTTCAATTATGATAATCTGATTGTCATACTTTCTCTATGTAAAGTTCCTGTTACATACTGTATGTGTTACACAACGCATTTAATTAGGATTCCACTTGACAATTTCATTTGAGATATTATAACAATAAAATATAACAGAATATATCTCCAATATTAATTTAATTAAATTAGTCAGTAATTTACATTTCCAATCCGTTTTATTGTATAAGTTAAACACGTCATTCATATATTGGATTCTTAATTAGTTTAATGAATTATTAACCATTTCGTATAAGTATTATTGTATTTATCGTCAAATTTGTTTAGTTGTGAATTATAACAAATGTAGCATTTGTATTCTCTCTAATTTTATTTTTGAAAATATTTAAATCATTTTTTTCTTTCTTTTATTGTGAAAATGTTTCTATACTTGTCAGGATTTAATATTTTGCCAACTCATAAAAGAAAATACATATAATATGAATTTCAAAACTGTAGCGATGTAAATAGAGCTCCTCCATTGCATATATATATTATTTATTTTGTTTTCACTACAAATGTACAGAATATGGTAGCAAAATACAGCGCACATTAAATTTGAAAAACGTGTATATCAGAACATACTTTCAGTAAATTTGGAAAACTTCTACAATTATATGAATTACATGACGCGTGCCTTGTATTAATTATATATTCGAATGTAGAACAATGCACATATAGTATTTAGTATTTTATTAATAAAACAAAATAATTTTCATTCTCTCATTACAATTCTCTCACTACAAATCTGAAAATCTGACTAAAATTGATTTTAATGACTAAAATAATCCAATTATATTTAAATATTACCCTTTTTATCTTCTCCTTTTCCTTTTTTCACATTCTATAACAGAAAAACATAAAACATTCGATTATTAAATCTTAAACGAAATGTACTAATAAGTCGGTAATCATGTTCCATAAATTAAAAAAGCCATATTTTATAATTTTGTAGAGTATACTAAAATTTACAATCATGATGTTAATAACAATTTTATCATTAAATGGGAGAAACTACTTACATAATAGTTCTACAACGTCCCCTGTTATCCATTCTTTGTCCTGCCGGGCAGTATGTAGGTGCTGTTATAATATTTCTAAATCCAATTTGTGGAATAAACTCGTCAGGCATCACGACATCCTGAACACTGGCATTGTTTTGTTTTTTCTTTTCTCCCGTATCAATATCATCAGTTTCAACTCGCGAAACTTTCTTCTCATCTGTCATTGATGTTGCTTTCGCCGCGTCACTAATCGATTCATGATAAAAATCGTATAAGATTATCGTAGTTATTAAATTTCTATATATATGTTTGACGTCAAGAACACCTTTCACTTTTGGCTCAGGCATTTCCGGATCAAAAACAACGCGCTTTATTAAAAAATTATATTTTTATTAATTAATTTAATATTGTATGACTCATTATTAATTTTTAATCATGTTGAATCTTTTATAGACGTCAAGCACTTGAAGATATCAATTTATCAGAAACAAGTAACTCGAAAATGTCATATATATGACTCGTCCAAGTTACGTGATTCATTTCATTTATCAAATACGATAAGTTATTTTTAAAAAAATATCTATATAACAAATGTTATAGCATATGCGGCGTCTACATTGAAATAAAGTAAAGTTAGTTCTTGAGAAACTTAAGAAAAATTCTTCTGTGCAAATGTATAATTTGCAAATCAACACGAAGTCTGTCGTGATGTACGGCGAAGCGGAAACATTATATGGATTTCGGGATGTAGAATTCAAATTACTGGTTCGAAACCAAACTTAGGAAGTGTATCCATCATAGCGTGAATTCTGAACACGTGCACGGCTAATTCAATTTAACACACTTTGAACTTTAAGATTTCAATTCCTAATTTTTTTGTCGGACATTCGGAACAAGCCTCATAGAATATTGAATAAAATTTAACGTTTCGTCGATGTATCGAATGAAAACGTTCTGGCATTAAGCTAATGCTAATTCTTTCGTTTGACCTGATATTATTCGATAGCAATCAAGGCGAGCTTCAAGCCACAGACTTGAAAGGTCCCCAGTCCCCAGAATTAGAACTTTTCATACGCGTAGTATGCAAACTAATTCTAAGCCGGCTTAACATATACACACATCATATACGCACGAACACATATGCATCTATTTTCTCAGCTTTTTTCATATGAATTCGTTATCGTTTATACGTACTCGTAATCTTCACCCGAATATTTGTACTCATTGCTAAATGCCCACTTCTCGTCCGATGAGACGTAACTCTTCATCAAATGTATCTGTATTTGTGGTGCTTTCGGCTCTGGATGCACTTTTTTCCATCTATCTGCTATATCCCCTAGACTTGTCGATTGCGGTAAGAGACGTATGATCAACAAACTTTGCGGTCGGATTATCGACGATGATGTTGAGAAGCCAACGATCGAAATTAGTAAGATAAGATTGCAAAGAGACATAACGATATATAACTTATGACGGAAACGTGTAATTTATGTAGATTTAATAGTCTTTAAAAAATAATTAAATTTTTATCTATTATATATGTATCTCGATTATTATCATTTTCTTATCGCACGTCGACTGATTTGCAAAGCACCACTGCGGTCGCGTAGTTCTCGAGTTTGTCGACAAGCTTGGATTGATAATTTGAATTCACACGCTTTCAATGACGGTGCATAGACGACTGTTTGAGGTGTGAAATGATCGGCTCCGTGACTACAACTAACTCAGCAAGCCGCACATCCGGCCTTCAACCACAGCGCACCCGCAAATGTAAGATTAAATTCGTAAGAACGGATGGTTCACGGTTACCATGATTAATGCGATTTGATGACAATTCGACAAAACTCTGATAAATGATATTGCTCGTTGATAAGACCGAGCAATCGAGATAGGTTCAATACATAAGCGTGTTTAAATGTGATTAATATTTTTCGTTAATAATTATTTTTAATAATTTATTACGTCCTCCAATGCAATCACATTTTTTTATATGACACGGTTTATTATTAACAGTACGTGATAATTTTTAATTAAAAAAGCATAAAATAAATTACTTTTATGAAAGATTTGCTTTTTGAAAATAGCGATTATCAGAATATAAAAAATTTAACTAATTCTATTAGTAATAATAATAATGAGAAGAAGAAGAAGAAGAAGAAGAATAAGTTCTAATTAAAAACACTACAAAAAAGTTATTTATAAAATGTAGGAAATCATTTTTTTCTCTTTTCATATACGGCATATCAATCATAAAATGTTATGAAATTTATCGTATTGCCTTAAACATTATATTTGATAAGATAGTTTTTTCTTTGCTGGGTAATTATTTACATTTGGCCAATCTCTCTTCGATAATCTCGACCTTGATATACATTGAGGTGTAGATATTGATTGTAATTTTGTTCTAACTGACACTATACACGTACAAGTTTTAAATATGCTTATATAAATGGAAAAGAATAAATCTTTATTTTTTATATATTTTATATATACATAAAATATATAAAATATATATATCTTAGTTATTTATCTATATTTCTTTTAAATTTACATTTATATTTTAATTCTAAATTATTTCAGCTAATTCAAACTAATCAACTGCTTAACTAAATATTATATTATTTGTAGAAATATCCCTTTTAATGCGAAGTGTTTCTTTTGTCACGCTAACGCGTGATTTCAATCAATCAATTCTTCATTGTCAATAACATAAAGAATTATTTATTAACAGAATTCTCTGCGCTTTTTACGTAAGCACGCAATTAATTCGAAGGCTATAGAGCTAGAATAAACTGCGCGAAGACATCGCATGACAATTATTATATCATTTGTGTATAAGCGAGTAGCTTCTCTTCAAACAATCAACAAGGAACGACGTAAGAGATCTGTGCAGAGTATTAATTGACTTTATCTTTGTAATAGACACAGTATTATTCCGTTATCTGTTAAGACCATTCGTAAGACTTACGAAAGACAATGTCGCACTATATGAAAAAATGTATGATTCATTGATGTTTCTAATAGATACAACAAACATTGTGCACAATTTAATTTTCAAAACATCATCAGAGTTTCAATGAAAATCATGAAAATCACGAGTTTATATAAGTTATAATTTTATATAAGTTATAATTTTATATAAGTTATAATATATCGATTTCTAAAACAACATTTATCATAGATATTTGCAATCATAGATATTTCCAATCATCAGCGTATCAAATTAATATATACAAAATGTAATCTGAACGATATTAAGAATACGATATTAACGATAATAACAATACTAATTTGTAATTCTGTTACGGAATCAGCATAATGCGCTATGAATCATCCATCAGTAATTAAATCCGTATCATACCGTTCCCGTTGCTTAATTCATTAATAAATCTATCGGTCACTGTCGAGCTAGCATAAATTAGCAAACCATCAATTATTCTTCAATTACAATTGCAAAACCGCGTTCACGCATTGCAAGATCTATCGTAGGAGACCATAAATTGTCAGCCTAAATTCGAAACTCCAATTAACCATAATTTTTAAGTCATCTTTTTGATAAGATATCTTAATACTTATTTGATTAGATACTTAATACAGACATAGTGCTTATAAAATTCGATATACACATTTCTATCTTTTAAATATTTTATAACAGATCATACGACACATTTAATAAATAATACATTTTATATAGACTATATATAGATTAATTTTATATAAATAAATACATTATATGCACATTAATAGTATGAATATTTTATATAGATAGTACGAATATCTTATAATAGATAAAATACGAAAAGAAGAATATACGGAATTATTTTTTTCAAAAAAGATCTCATGATTAATAAGAATTTGTTTCAAGTTATTATCAATTTGTGCTGTTAATAATTTTTGTAAAATTTGTTTATAATTAACAAAATTTTAATCATTGAAATTTTTTTGGATAAAGTCGTATTATCTATTTTATTCTTTACATAAAGAGATTTTTTCTATCTTTAATTGATTCTATCTTTAGTACAAATGTGTACTAGTGTACACAATTACATATTTCTTTCAATTTTCCTCATCATTTACGTTAATCGTATTTGCAAATTCAATTAGTAATTTTTAAATTCAAGTTTTTCTGAACAATCCTTTGAAATTAAAAAATCCTTTGAACAATTCTTTGAATAATCCTTTGAACAATCCTTTGAAATTAAAAAATCTTTAAAAATGAATATGTCCGAAAAATATCTCTCACATGTCATCGTGCTAGTCGAGAGAAATGTGTATCGAAATTGTATACAAGCTAATTAGCTACTCAGTCTCATTTCGAAATTCCTGCACGCACAATATACAGAGTATAATGTGTGACCATTGGACGGAAGATTGTTGAAATAATTTTCGGCCAGCGACGATCCCGCAGGATTTATGGTGGCGAAATCGACCGGACATGCGGTCGTTTCGGTCCGTCGAACAGGCGCGATTGTGAGAGAATCCGCGGATTCGACACGAATTTGCAAGAAAGATGATCTCGATTTAACTTGACTACATTTCGATTTCGTTTTATGTTCCGTCTTTATTCTACTATATGTTTTGAATTTTTATCTCCCAAATATTCATCTTTGAAATTAAAAGTTGTGTCAACAAAAATTAATGTTTCTTTTATTTCTTTCAGGCGGAGTGGAGAAAACGCAATACGGCCAATTGCCGAAGCAGATTCTCAGTCGTCACGGATTCGAGGGATGTTTAGCGTCGTTGGATCTCAGCGGGGAAAGCACCGATCTCATTACCGATGCCGTTGTGCCGAGTTCACTCGTCACATCCGGATGTGATATTTATAGCAACTTACATCCGGGCAAGAAATGCACGCATGATCTCTGCGCCAATCATGGCACGTGTGTACAGCAGTGGAATAGTTACACATGCGATTGCGACATGACAAGTTTCACTGGGCCGACCTGTAATGATGGTAAAGAAACAGAAGAAAAAAATGTGTAAAGCGACTTATCAGTTTACGCTAGTCTTTTTATTATATCAGGTTACGCTAGTCTTTTTATTATATTGTTAATAGATTCATACTTATCTGTAAGCGGATTAAAAGGCAACTAAGATTTTGCAATAATGAATTATTACAGAAGAGTAGTACTCTTTGCAATTTTATTTCAATTTAAATAGAATATGTATTAAATAATATAAATATTAATTTAAAAAGAGATAAAAAGATAAAAAATTGTTTGTCTAAATTAAATATATATCAAGACTCAAAAAATTCAACTGCATAAAAAATTGGTTACAAAGATTATAATGAAATTATTGTAAAATATAAATGAATTCTAATAATATAATTCATATTAATAATGAAATTGACGATATTATGAACTTAAAAAAGTAAAAAGATCTTATAAATGATATATGAATATTTATTTTAATTTTTATAAAATATAATTTTTATAAAATTTATTTTAATTTTTATAAAATATAAAATAATTTAAGATATTAATTATTCAATTGTATTTACAATTTTATATTAATTGTTTGATTATATTAATTAATAAAATTAATCTCGATATACATTTACTAAATATATATATATATATATATATATATATATATATATATCTTTTCTATATTTAACTTTATATATTTATAGAATTACCAAAAAAAAAAAGATTTTGCGTTTTGTATAGAAATGTAATGAACAATTTCGGACTTATTTTATCATTTTTTGTTAATATTTCATCACATATGTGTGTGTATTTTATATAATATCTTTAACTTACAATAATAGCATTATATTGAAAAGGAAATAACTTCTTAAAAACGTTAAAATTTAAATGTAAAAGAAAAATATTATCTCAAAAATTAAATGTACTATCAAAATTTTTTGCAGAGGCTATCGCTTATGAATTTGGGGCCGGAAGAGGGATTATCACATATACTTTTCCGCCTGAGCGTCGGCCGGAAATGAAGAGGGACACCGTGGCCTTGGGTTTCGTCACCGGCGTTAATGATGCCGTGTTGCTTAGGATAGAATCTGCGTCGAGTAACGATTATCTCGAAATAGAAATTGTTAGTACGGACATATATAAATTTTTCAATTTATTAAATCTTATTAGTAGAAATATATACTCAAAATATATTTTATATATTATATTTTAATATTATACTTAAATACGTTTTTTAATTTTTTCAACCTATATATTATATAATTTTCTATTTCGTTAAATTATTTGCATGAATCAAGAGTAAAAATTACAGTTATAATTTATTCTTGTCACATAGGTGGAAGGTAACGTTTTTGCGGTTTATAACATGGGTACCAATGACCATCCAATCGGTGAGGTTGGCGTGAAAGTTAACGACAACCAATATCATGTGGTTAGATTCATCAGGACAGGACCGAACAGCACGTTACAAGTCGATGACTACAATTTGCAATCTAATCATCCATTAGGTAAGTAATTTTTACATTTTTTTAATCCATGCTGTATGGAAACTAATACTACTGCGAGTGATAAGCTATCGCCGATCGATTGTGTCATCGAACTTTCATATATCATAATGTATGTGCCATAAAAGATTCATATTTAATATTCCAGATTTTCGCAGTGTACATGAATATTAGAATTGACTTTCAGCTTTAAGCCGCATTAATTCTTTATTTGATTTTAACATTTTTTTGCTTCATCAAGAAGGAATGATACTGGCATCAATGAACTGAAATATTCACGAAACATTAAAATCAAATAAAGAATTTACGCGGTTCAAACCAAAAAGCCAATTCTAATAAAAATTCCTATTTATCAAATTTTTATCACACAAATTGAGTTTTATTTGAGCTGCATATTATATTGTGTGTATATATTTGCAGTAAATATATAAAATATTTATAATATATAGAATGTTTCCTGATATTTTGAACTTCAGAGATATTAAATTCAGATATGAAAATAAATAAAAAATTTTGATATAAATATAAAGAGAATAAAATAAATAAAAGAATAAAAAATAATAAAAGATGTTTATATAAATATTTATATATTTTACCTTACTCTCACAGTTTCGAACTTATTGAACTTGTTATATCTTAATAATTCTCTTAATATTTTAGTAATTTTTTGATTGAAATAATAATTATTAAAAATTAATGATAACATATTTGAAAAGCAGAATAAAAATTTTAAATGTTTTATGTGAAGACAAGTAAACGATACAGAATTCGACAAATATATAACAAATATACACACAAGACAATCAAATAGGATAAATAGTTACAAATTTTTTCTATATTATTCTTATTTGCTATCTTTAATTTTTTGTTTTACTTACATATTATGAAACATTTTACATTATTAACAAGCAAAAAATATAGACAGTATAATTTTAAAAAATTACGCTCTTTTTTCCTTTCTTCCTTTTTCTTTTTTTCTTCATTAATTTTTTATTCCTTTTTCTAAAAAGAAAAAAAGCATTAGATGTATATATCAAATATTCGACTATATCACACACAAAAATTACTGAAAAATTACTGAAAAATATTGAACAAAGAATTGCTTCACATAGATATTAATAAATTAGCAACACAAGTAAATAAAAAAAAACTTTGGAGTTTTCTGCAGTATATGAATTAAAAACAGTAAAAATCAGAGAGAACAATGATTTTCAAATTGCCACAATATGTTCTTCAATCATTATATCACAGAAATTGAGTTAATCACATAAACAAAATTTCTAAAGCCCGACGAAGACATAAATTATAAAATTATATCGCGCATAAATGTGCATTAAATACAAGAGACGATCCAGACGGTTCGAGAACTGCCGAGAAACTGAGGACGAAGGATCCTATGTGCTCTTTTATGAACTTTGTGGTGCCGGTCACCGACCTCTTTCATCCCAGCCATGGGAAACGACCTTGATCGGTCGTTCACGAGACCCTATTGTCTATTCTCCCGTCTTGTTCACGAAGGCGAAGGCTGATCGTTATTCCTACGGAAAGGCATCCTGTTCCTGTCGGGAATGATTTATTTATTAATTGAGACTTATCAAGCATTAAGTTACTCGAGAGCCTTCCTTCCGCAATTACACTCAAATATATTGTCGAGTCTGTAATTTATATGAAGGGAGTTGCATATAATAAAATACCCTTCAGTATAATTTTTTATTCAACAATTTGGCGATATATTTATGTGCCAAAAAATCTTTCTAAGATATTTAAATTTATTATTTCTTATATTAAAATCTTGCTAATATTAATAGTGATATTAAATACCGGTCGAGATAATTGACGTTACTACTTTTTTTTTTATTTAAGTTCATAAGATCCTTGCGACTATCTTCACTTTCCTAACTATCTGATACTTTTATAATTATTAATTAATACCGACACTTATAAAACTCTTAATAAGGTATCCTGATATACATGCGCTGACGTGCTTCTCATTCTCCTGATAAGATGAAATCCTGATGCTCAACTAAGCGATCGATGTTTCATCGAACACGAACTAAGTCTATTCTACTCTTGCATCCTTTGAAATTTCCATGCGTAACATGCTGTCCTGATAACTTGACCTTTAAAAAACGCTTTTGCTTTTCTATCAAGCCTGTATGCTTATATCAATTCTGCGTGCTTTTAATACCTGCGCGTGACTCTCTTTTTAAAAGAAGAATAAGATGAGCTGAGCCAATGAATCAAAAGTACAATATTAAAAGTTTAGGTATACTATTTTAAGTATACTTCGTAAAATTTAATAAAAATGACAAATAATGTAATTTGCAATTTGTATGATAATACATATAAACTTAATTATTAATAGCATTAATATTGAAATGAATTCAATTGCATAATATATTAATTAAACGCAGATTTCATTTTCGATTAATGTATTAAACTTATAAAAATTGAAAGTAAATTACATTTTATAGTTAAAAATTTAAATAAATACCAACATATCATGATAAACACATGTGATTGATCTTGGATAATGAAAATTCATTTCAAAGAGATGTATAAATAGAAGAGAATTTCTGCGGTGAGCATCGTATATTTAATTAACAAATGACAAAACGGAGTTTCTATTTTCCGTGTACAATTAATTTTATAATGTCGTTCATATATCACATTCACCAGAAATTGCATTTCGTTTCATGACGTGGTGTTAATGTAATTAAGTGCCTCACTTAATTACATTACTCTCAAATTGTTTACGTTGAAACATATAATAAAGTCTCAGTGTATTTACTTAATATAATTTAACATCTACCAGTATATTCGCAAATTCTAAATTAATATGATGTGTTTATCATTTCCTTTGAAAACAATCTTTTTAACTATTTCAAAAATTATTTCATATATTGCTATATTATATTATTGCAAATTGTATTACTTTATTTAATATATCACAAACATGTAAAATAATATAAATACTTGATAAATATCTCTACAACAGTAAAGTAAAAATATTACCAGGTCTCATCGATTGCCATATTTTTTCATTCAACTATGTCAGCAAATTAGATTTACCTCACCACATAATCAGACAGTATGTTCGCGTATATTCGCGCGCAGATATTAATTACGATGCAGCATTGCACGTAATACACCATGTTGCACTCGTTTTCCTGACCCGCGGAAATTTATCGTCGACTAATGCACGATGCATTTTCATAAGTGTACGAGCTTTTTGGTCTCGCGAGCCTCGTTTGCGCATTGCGAAACTCGCGAATGCGCACATGTGTGCTTAAAATTCAACAAATATTCGTCAAATCTGGTGCCTCTGACTCGATAAGTAGTATAATTAATTAATGTCAAAATCGTAACAAATCATTTTCACATGTCTAATATATCTCCGAAAACATCTATTATACATAAATACATATTTTCATTACTTTATAATATTACAATTTAATTATGTAAATTATGCTACGTATGTAATTTGAGTATTATTTGCTTGTTGCAAAAAAATATAGATAAAAAGATAGATTAGTATATTGAAACTGAAATATTTCTTAATTCTTGAAATTGAAATGCTTTATTTATTGTGACAATTATCAACATCTTTGTTGTTTTTAATGATATAGAAATATATATTAGAAGATAATGTTATTTACATTTTTTATAATTAACAATATTTTTTTTCTCGTAGTTTTTAAACTTTTAAAATTATCTTAATTTTAAAATTATATTAATTATAATTAAAGTTTCTTTAAAATGGAATCTTATATAATTCTATATATTATTTCTGTGTATTTTTTTACATGTAACTCAATTTATTCTAATATATAAAATGTGAAATATCTTATATACTACAAAGTGTTAAAATAAAGTAATTTAATTAAAATTCTTTGGATGCTATCTCCTTAACACGGCGAGTAATACAAACAAGCGAATGCAGAAATTATCAACAAACTAAGGAAGTTGCAGTTGTACCGTTGCATTGGGTGAAATTTTCGCAGGTTAGATGTTACGAAAGACCTTTGACCTCAAGAGATATATAAACCTTTGTCACATTAACCCTTTGAGCCCACCCCAATTGCCTGCTTAGCGGCGCCGCGTGAGCGAAACTCCTGACTAACATTGCTGTCCTGATAACTTTCTGGATCACCTAGAACCCTTTGAGATTATGGCCCTCTTATGTCTTTCTAATAAGAGCTAAGGACACGAACAGATTTTGATTGAACATTTTGTAGAATGCTCTAAACTACTTTCAATTAATTTTCTAACTAGACGATATGATTCTAACGCAACGATATGATTCTAACGCAACGATATGATTTAATTATTATTATTGCGATTAAACGATAAATATTATATTTATTTTAATACAAAATAAACTTATTGTTGTGTTTTTAAATATTAACGATAAGTTTTATATTTATGACAATCTTCATATCAATGTTTTTAAAATAATTTAAATAGTTAATCTGATTTCTTTCTCTACTATTTTATTTCTTCTAATAATTAATTACATTTTATTTCTTCTAACTATTTTATTTCTTCTAATAATTAATTACATGCATTGCTTAAATTTATTAATATTTTATTTAATTATTTTGCTTTCTATTTTATAAGTACTTATATATATATATATCTTTTTATATAATAAATAAATTAAACTTATTTATTTTTTATTATATAAAAAGATATATATAAGTACTTATTACATATTATATTTCATAAAAAATTTTATTTTAAGATTTGTGTTACGTATATGCATTAGATTCTGGCTTTTGATCTTTATATCCTACTGCCTTGATCCACAGAAATTCGCGCGAGCTTAGAAAGTTAGACTCCTTTCGGAGTGTTCATGATATCGCGACCCTTCTTCCACCCTATACGATTCACATGATGCAATCTACAACAAGAAGGGAATCCTCTTCGCGTCTTCTGATACTCTGCTTCATGTGTGGTAGGCTGCTTATCCCCAAGCCACGTATTCTTTTCTACGTATGTAT